ATTTGAGTAAAAATTTTACTAATTGCGAGTCGAGATACATTGCATTAGAGAAGATGTGTTGTGATTTAGTATGGTATGTACGATGACTCAAACCGTACATGCTCTATGACACCACTTGGCTAATCTCAAAACATCGATATTCTTAAGTACATCTTTGAGAAGCCATACTTGTTTAGTCGGGTTGCAAGATGGCAAGTCATGTTATCCGAATACGACATTGTATACATGACAAAGAAAGCGATAAAAGGAAGTGTCATAGCAGATCATTTAACGAGATAATGCCATACACGACTATGAACCTCTAAGATTTGACTTTCTCGATGAAGCGAGTTGTGATGGTCGAGAAAGAAGAGATGGGGTTAAAAGATGATAGGTGGGTCTTATATTTTGATGGGGCTATAAATGTGTTAGAAAATGGTATCGGGTCGATCTTGATTTCACCGAAAGGAAGACAGGTTTCCTATGGCAATCAAGTTACGGTTTGAATGCACAAATAACATCGTTGAGTATGAAGCATGTGTGCATGGCCTAGAAGCTACTACGAGAGATGAAAATAAGCAAGCTTGATGTATACGACGACTCTTTGCTCATAATCGATCAGATGAAGGAAGAGTGGCAAACAAAAGATGAAAAGTTGAAGCCATATCAAGAGTATTTAACAAAGCTGGCCAATCGGTTTGAGGAGATTGAGTTCACTCATCTAGGTAGAGAGAAGAATCATTTTGCCGATGCACTAGTAACACTGGCCTTCATGATCGAAATTGAATGTGGGGTGAAGATTCAACCCATATGTATTGAAACTAGAAATGCTCCCGTATACTATTGTGGTTTGATAGAAAAAGAGTTAGATGAAAAGCCGTGGTACCATGACATCAAATAGTTTATCAAGAATAGGGAGTATCCAACTGATGCAACCAAGATTGACAAAAAGATGCTAAGAAGACTAGCCATGGATTTTTATCTTGATGGTAAAATCTTATACAAAATAAGTTTTGATGGCTCTCTGTTGAGATGTTTGGATGTGGTTGAAGCAAAGAAGACTATAAGAGAGTTCCATGAAAGGATTTGTGCCACACATGCTAGCGGACATATGATGACCCGATAGATTCGAGCAATTTGGTTATTTTTGGACCACCATGGAGAAAGATTGTATCGAGTATGTTCAAAAATATCACAAATGTTAGATTCACGTCGATCGGATAAATGCTCCACCAACACCCCTTTTCAATATGGTATCGCCCGGCCATTTGCAATGTGGGGTATGGATGTCATCGGACCGATAAATCCTAAGGTAAGCAATGGTCACCGCTTTATTTTGGTAGCAATTGATTATTTCACCAAGTGGGTTGAGGTCGCTTCCTTTGCACATGTGACTCGAAAGGTCGTTTGTCGATTTGTTGAAAAGGATATAATCTGCAGATATGGCTCTTTTGAAACCTTGATAACGAGATAATGCTCAAAACTTCAACGACAAAATGATAATAGATTTTTGCCAGGCAATGAAAGATAAAGCATCGTAATTCCTCTCCTTACGGACCCAAGATGAATGAAGCCGTGGAAGCGACAAATAAGAATTTGAAGAAGATTATCCAAAAGATGGTGATGTCATACAAAAGTTGGCATAAGATGCTCACCATTTGCCTTGCATGCTTATCGAACATCCGTTAGAACTTTAACATGAGTGACTCCTTACTCTGCAGTATACGGAATGGAAGTAATGACGCCACTTAGAGGTCGAAATAGCCTCTCTAAGGATCCTGAAGGAAGTTCGGTTAAAAGAATCGAATGAGTAAAAATTCGATATGAACAACTGAATCCGATAAGTGAGAAGCGACTTGCCACTATATGTCATACCCAATCGTATCGGAAATGAATGGCCGAGCATATAATAAGAAGATGCGACGAATGAGTTTTTAGGAAGGGGAATTAGTATTGAAAAAGGTGTTACATATACCGAGGGTAGATCGAGTAAATGGGCATCGAACTACGAGGGTCCCTATGTAGTGAAAAAGGCATTTTCGAGTGGAGCTTTCATTCGACAAAGATGGATGGTGATGAACTATCCAAGCCAGTGAATTCGAATGTCGTAAAGAAGTATTACACTTAAATTATAACTCTCTTTAATTCAAAGCAATGAATATTCATCAAGTTTTTGCTAATCTAATTTATGTGTTAGCATTTTCTTTTGCTTCTTATTTTCTTTTCTTCGATTACCTATCATGATCAACTTACGATTGTTTTAATTTCTTTTTGAAAAAAAACCATATTTTCAAATGTGATCGATCCCTAAAAGTCTATTTTCTTGGTCTTCCGTAAGATGATGTATTCATATTATCTATGAAACATGAGAAACAATTCAAATATCAAAGAATGACATGATAAAGGGATTTACCAAGGTCTTTAACGTGATCAAACCTTCCAAATCATGCTTACTTGGAAAGCAAATCGTGGGACACCTTATGTAGTAAACTAAAAGAAGTCCACATAGGGGCAAACCCGAGGATACAATAAATAAAATCCGAAGTCTAAAAAGAGAAGAAAGAAAGAAAAGTCATCACATCCCCAAACCCTAATCGGATGGTGTTGATATGACCAAAGGACCTATGATCAACGCCTATGGTGTAATGCGGGGACAAGACAACCGAAAGAAAAAAAGGGTAGTAAGCCTTACACTTCGGGGACATAAATGGTGTCGCTGAACAAGAAGAGGAAGTGTGGTTTGAATGATCAGGACTTATACTTCTAACAAAGAAAAGCATAATTTACAAGCCAGGAATGCACATCAAATAATAACCTCATAACTCCCCATAGTTATCTTAGTTTTAAAAAAAAAAAAGGAGGGTCCTGTTACACTCCTCTAAACCAATATGGTCCGTCACACTAGCCTAAAGTACTTAATAAATTAGATACATACATTTTAACGATCTAAATAATTTAGATTTTTTGATAGAGCACTTGTGTAAAAAAGTCCAATGGTTGAAGCAAATGATTAAGTCGTTAAAAGGTAGGTATCTAATTTATTATGTACTTTAAATCTAATGATACATAGAATATACATTTGAAAAACTTAAATGATTTAATATATAGACTCTAATGATCTAATATATATTGTTTGAAAAATCTAAATTTTATTATTATGTTTGTTTTTATTTAAATTTTATTGTTATATTTTGTTTTTATTTTCTAGTATTATTATTATACTTTGCATTGTATAATTTTTATCATATCAAACCTCATAAAATTTGATTTTGTGGCCCTTGACATTTCGAGCAAAAATTATTGATCATGAGTGGTTGATGCTGAGTAAATATTCTTTACTTTTCATGTCTTAAATATGCTCCTGTAATAGCATATCAAGAAAAAAGAGTTTAAAAAATATTTTGAATCGATTTCATACCTACTCATGGCTAAATAAAATAATAAGCTATTAATGAAAAAAAAAAATCTCGTCCAACTAGATCCATTCCATTCCTTAAAGTGAATGTGACAACTTATAATAATTTTGAGTATGGAAGAAGATGTAGTCATAGCCATAGATGTGGTCGAAATAATTGTCATTATAATCATGATGATCATAATAATGTATCTTAGCACTAGAAGTGGATGAACTATATATATATATAAAACTAGAAAAGAACAAAATATTGATCAAGTTAATATTTTGAAAATGAATATTATAGATATGACATGAATGAACATTAGTCGCATACTTGTTGTACACTAAAGCACCTCATCGAGCATTGTCAAGTCTTATTAAAAAAGTGAATGAACATTCATTATTTCATAACAAAACATAAATTTTATAACTCAATTTCAATTTCAATTGTTGTAATTCTTGTTAAAAAACAAACTAAGTTATTTTAGTTTAGTTATTAATTTGTTGTTTGTGTTATACTACAAATCGAATAAAACGAATAAAATTATTTTAAAAAATCATTAATTTGATGGTCTACACTATACTATGATCCATGAAAATATACCAAATAAAAAATATATCCGATTCTTTACTTTTTTAATCAAACTTTTGTATTTAATTAATCATTCCTTACATTTTTCATAATTTTCTACTAAAAAACATGATTTTTTTCTTATTCACCCATGAATTCTTAACTAAAAATTTATAATAATCTAAATAGAAAATTTAATAAATAAAAAATACCATAATATCTTTTTATGAGATTGTATCGAAAAAATTAAAGTAATTATTAATATAAAAATAAATAAATATTTTTTATTCATATTTAATTTTTAAGAGAAGATTTTTCAATTATTTTTCTAAAAGTATATATATCTAGTTTATATATATTTATGCATAGAAAAATCAATAAAATTAGTATAAAAAATTATATTTGAATCAGTTGGTGGTCCTTTTCAAATAAAATTTCACTTATTTCATTTAAAAAATTGATTTAAAAAAATAAAAAAGTTAAAAAATAGTAAATAGTTGGTATTTTGTGTGTATGTGCATAGATAATTTAAAACAAAACCAATAATTTAATTTTTTTATGCATCATAACTATACAAATGTGTTTAAAATTTACAATATAAAATAAAAATATATAAAAATAGTTCATTCTTGTAGATGTGTGTTTATATCTTTAAATGAACTAATTATATTTTAAATGAGTTTCTAATGTCTCATTCTCATGATTTTTTCTTTAATTATATTTATGTATTTTGAGCCAATTATCTTTTAAGTAAGTTCCTAATATGTTATTCTGTAAATTTTTTGTGCTAATTATGTTCATGTATTTTAAATAAATTTCTAAGCTGTAATCTGTTCGGCCAAACTATCAAAATACGTAGCGTGACTTACGCATTATATATATATATTTTGAATGCCTCTGGAAAAAGTTACTTGACTTGTATGTGTGTGTGTATATATATATATACACACATCCTCTCTGTATGATTCTACTCTTTCGATAATTCCATTTAGGGCTGCTTCCTACCCCATAGTTCATTAGTTACTCTCTCCCCGTAGCATCAACGCAATCACCATGGAACAAGAAGGAGAAGTTGAATCTTTAAAATCAATAAGCAAAAACGCTGCAAAGAAGGAAGCAATAAAGCAAGAGAAATTACGTCGTCGTCAGGAAGCAGCAGCAGCAGCCGCCGCCGCCGCTTCCTCACTTTCTATCGAGGAGGACCCACTCGCGGCGAACTATGGTAATATTCCGCTTTTAGATCTGCAATCGAAGTTGGAAGCAGATCTAAAAGCGTGGACACGAGTTGGAGACCTAACTCATGAGCTGCAAGATAAAGAGGTATTGATTCGTGGCCGTGCTCAAACCACGCGTGCTGTTGGCAAGAACATGGCATTTGTTGTGGTGAGAGAGAGAGGTTTTACTGTGCAGTGTGTGGTTACTGCTAAGCCTGATTTGGTTAGTAAGCACATGGTTAAATTCGTCGCTGGTCTGAGTCGGGAGTCAATTGTTGATGTACATGGCGTCGTTTCGGTTCCCTCTGTTCCTATCAAGGGCGCCACACAGCAGGTTTATTTGTTTTTTTTTTCTTTCTTTCTTAGTTTCTTGTTGAATTATTCATGTTTGTTGATGCTGTTTTGTTATTTTTTTTTTTTTTGCAGGTTGAGATTCAAGTTAGTAAGCTTTATTGTGTTAACAAATCTATGCCAACACTTCCCATTAGTATCGAGGATGCTTCTCGAAGTGAAAAGGAAATTGAAGAAGCTTTGCAGGTATAAATTTTATTTTGTCTCCCTTGTACCTGGTTATTTATGTGGGTACCTGTGATTTTTTAGAAGTTGAGTTAAATTTTTAAATGGTTCAATCAGAACTGGACTTGTTGACTGATGCAGGCTGGAGAACAACTTGTTCGTGTCAATCAGGATACACGTCTGAATTATAGAGTTCTCGACATGCGAACATTAGCTAACCAAGGGATTTTCCGCATTCAGTGTCAAGTTAGCAATGTGAGTTGGTGCCACTTTTGCATCTTCATAATGGATACAAGTTTTTGTGATTCCTTTTGTGATAATGAAGATATCCACTTTTGCATCTTCATAATTGATACAAGTTTTTTGTGAATCCTTTTATGATAGTGAAATCCAATTTTGCATCTTCATTCAATTAGGATTAATAAAATTTTCATCCTTATGTGTTGGTTAAAATTTGGGATTGAAAGTTTGAGGTAGAAGAACTCAAAAAATATGACACAGAAATACTTTTGCCTTCTAGGAATGACAGAGATCTTATGGCTGGTTATTACAAGGTTTTGTCAATTCTTGACAACTGCTTGTTGTCATCCTCATCAGTTAAGAGCAAAAATACTTAATTATTTCTGTCCATTGCTCAGACATGTCGAAATTGCCTTTTGTGGGTTTCTTATACTTGCTTTAGGTAGACTTACATTTGCATCCTCCTTACTTTGTGCTTTGATTGTGTTGTATAAATTCTTATTCAAGCACTTTGAAAATCAGGAGTTGCTAATTACCTTAATGAATTCAACCTCCTTGTTTTATGGGGGACCTCTTCCTTCCCGTAATATATTATTCAGTGAAAATATAAACACAGAAAAGGAGGAGGATAGTGTGTTTTTTTTTTTTTCTTTTTTTCCCTCTCCTTTAAATTGGATTCCTTGGCTTTTTTGCATTTTTCAACGAGCAAAAAAATATCTGCAATTTCCTGGATGAATAGAGAACTTTTTACTATTTTAACTGAAATGGTATCTTGCTTGTATGGTATGAAGTTTCTAATTGTTTGTGCACTGAATATCCTGGAGCTCCATGCATCAGACTAATCCCTCTCTGTCTTTCTCCCGCAAACTTGCACATACATGCTTTAATGAAATTATTTCAAGACTATTTACATCAATGATGCCTGAACATCACAGTCAGGGAATGTATTGTACCATTGTGCAGATATTCAGGCAGTTTTTATTGTCAGAAGAATTTGTTGAAATCCACACTCCAAAACTGATAGCAGGCTCCAGTGAGGGTGGTTCTGCTGTGTTTAGGCTGGACTACAAAGGTCAACCTGCCTGCTTGGCCCAGTCGCCTCAACTTCACAAGCAAATGGCAATTTGCGGTGATTTTGGGCGTGTTTTTGAGATTGGTCCAGTTTTCAGGGCAGAGGACTCTTACACTCATAGGCATTTATGTGAGTTTACGGGTCTTGATGTTGAAATGGAGATTAAGCAACACTACACTGAGGTAGGATTCTGTTGCTTGGTTAGCTTGTTATGAGCATCTGAATTGAGATGATGGTTGATGTTTAGCTGAAAAATTGAGTTTGTTTATGCAGGTGATGGATATTGTTGGCAGTTTATTTGTTGCAATGTTCGATCATTTAAATGAAAAGTGCCACAAAGATCTTGATGCAGTTAGGAGGCAATATCCGTTTGAACCTTTGAAGGTCATTATTTGTAACCAATTTTCAAAACCATTATTGTGTTTAGTCTTCAGATTGTTGATGTATTGATTGCTAATATCTTGGAGAAACTTTAAGAAGTTCAATTTATGATAATTAACTTGTGCATCATTTTCAATTCCCTCTACTCATGGACCTGATCTCTTCTATTTACTCACTGCACAGTACCTGCGAAAGACTCTGCGCCTAAGGTTTGAAGAAGGGGTTCAAATGCTCAAGGTAAGAGAATAAATTTATATATGTTTCTATGCATGTATGAATGTCCTCTTTCACTGCCCCTTAGATTTGAAGATGCGCAATGTGAGAGAATAGAATTGTCTTTGTATGCATGTTGAATATCTTGTGTAACCTGTGATTTAAATTTCATAAATTTAGGCTATGATGTCATCAAGGACAGTACACAAATAATACTATAATAAGATAGTAAAGCATTAGGTTTGCAAGCAGTGTTACAATGGCGGGAGAATAATTGACTTCTTATAAACAAGGGACTGTAGGAGGCATCGGCCAACATATATTGTTTCATTCTGATCCTGAAGTGCCTCTGTTGCACTGCTATTGAACTGAAATTTTACCACCTGTCTTGACCTACTCACTTTTAAGACGTAGGTCATTTGACTTTCATAGACATGAAGTTTGATTTCCTATAAACGAGAAAGGAATTTGTTGATATGTAGATTTTTGTGTAATAATCCTACTTTACTCATAAACTGTAATTAAGTGATTTTATTTCCACATATTTCTAGTTTTGTTTTTCAGTTTTATCTTTATAGGATAATGTTTTTGGCTAGGGTGATCGTCTTGAACTGATAAACAACCTAGGAACCACATGAGCAAGTGTTGTATTTGTTATTTGGCTGAAGATCTCATTAAGGTTCTTTGTCTGTTCTGATTCTCCATCTATGGTGTCTGGTACAACAGCCATAGACTGAGAATGGAAAGGGATGATTGTGGACTTCACTAGGGCTCATGCAGAATCTCTCCATGACTCTTATGATGTTGGAGTCCTTGATTTTCTCTTCAAAATGGCAGTAAAGTGGTTTTGCATGAAAAAAACACTAGGAATTTGGCAACAGTATAAAGTAGTTCTTCAATTTTAGCTATCAAAACTGTTGCTTATGCTTGCTAAGGCTGACATAAACCAGCTGCTGCCTACCTATGAAAAATGTTACATACTCAATTGAAATTCAACTTTCTTTTGCAGGAAGCAGGAGTGGAAATTGATCCTTATGGAGACTTGAATACAGAATCAGAGAGAAAACTTGGCCAGCTTGTTTTGGAAAAGTAATTTCTTATTTTCTGATTCAATATATTGCCTAGAGAATTTTCTCCATTGTAGCCAAAGTAAATGAGTGGGCCCTTCATAACTTCTTATGGCAGGTATGGCACTGAGTTTTACATTCTTCACCGGTATCCTTTGGCTGTTAGGCCATTCTACACCATGCCGTGCTACGATGATCCAAAATACAGTAACTCATTTGATGTCTTTATTCGAGGTAAACCATTTGATGAGTATTTTAGTCTCATTAGTATGAAAGTTACACTGGTTGCTTTACATCTGGAGTCTTGGACATGTATTGCAATTGAAACATACCACTTTTCATGCATCTGTATATATAATTTGCTGGAAGTGACCTATTAGTGCTATGTGCTTCTATTTTCCAGTTCTATTACCTTTGTTATGTTTGCATGTGTACATGCATGCATTCTTGGACAAGTTTTCAATGCATATGGAAGGTAATTAAGATACTCTTTTTACTATTTTATCGTGAATTTTATTGACTTGCCCCATGTCTGTTAGGTGAGGAGATAATTTCTGGAGCACAGCGTGTCCATGTGCCAGAATTGTTGGCAGAACGTGCACAGGCATGTGGTATTGATGTCAGCACAATATCAACATACATTGATTCTTTCAGGTATTTTTTTTATTTCCTTGATTTTCTTTGATAAAGAAATACAAAAATTGAAAATGAAGGTGCAATCTGTTATTGTTTTGTTCTGTATTGATGGTGAAATTAGTTTTGTACTCTTGTAGTTATTCTTTTTTGCAATTTGATGCATATTATATAGCATGGTTTATTCACTCATTTTGCATCTATATGGCACTCAAAGGATTCCTCTGGCTGAAGGTTGCTTGGATTTTATGACAATGTTGTTAGTTTTGATATATTATTCACAAATGAAAAAAGATATACTCTTCAATATCTAATTCTTTGAGTTAAATGTTGTGTCATTAATGTTTCTGTATCATAAGTTGTTTGCATAGTGTTTTATATGCTCAATTCCATCCACTATCTTTAAAGTAAAAAATGAACATCACTGTAGTTGGTGGAGGTGATAATTCTTTTGAGCTGTTTTCTTTATAGTTCTACTATCTTCAGTCAACATGGTGAATTATCTTTAATCTGTATTCATGTGTTACTGTTTAACGGGATAAAAGTAAATGTTTTATTTTTATTTTTTTTATTAGAGAGGAGAAAAGGCAGATTTCTGGTTTGGTGTGCCATGCATTTCCTCTTTGCTGATTGTATTGTTGAGTCTAATTTTCTTCATTGTTTTCTCTGCATTGGCCTTTATAAATAAAAGGGAATGGAACTTTTTTCCTTAACAGCCTGTTGATGGATTCTCATGGTTGCTCTTTTCGCAGATATGGTGCCCCTCCACATGGTGGGTTTGGAGTGGGGTTGGAGCGTGTGGTGATGCTATTCTGTGGTCTGAACAATATTCGTAAAACGTCACTTTTCCCTCGTGACCCGCTTAGGATTGCTCCATGATTGTGTGTTTTGAGATCAGCCGATCATTGATTTACGGTAATCTTTTTCTTGGAAATTTAATGTTAAGTGCAAAAACAGAATTAATAATTACTCACAAACTTGTTTGAGAGAGGAGCATAGTTTCTTGGTGCATTTTATATGAGAAAGTCTATTATTAGGTCCCATAATCAATTGACCTTGGCGTAAATTTGATGATATTTTTACTCTTAATTTTTATTGAGCTCGTTGTTCTTAAGTTATCTACGTTGGAGTGCTTTGCTGTGAAATCTCGTTGCTTAATGACCCTTTGCTTGAAACCATAGTTTTAAATAATGGCTGTTAGTATATAACGTAATTTGGTCAAAGCTGATATTGTTTTTTGTTATTATACAAGGCATAAATTGTGACCTGCCACAGGCGTTAAAACTGTGGGTGGAAACTATGGGCAGAACAACTAGCAATTAAATTGAAACGGAATCAATGATAAGTGATAAACTTATTGAGCCCTTGAGACATGAGTTGAACGGAGACAATTAGAAGTGAACTTAATTAATTGAAAATTCAGGTACATTGTAAAGAGATGTTTCAAACTTCAGCAGTATGAAATAGAGACGTTTGAATTATAAATGCCATTGTTCCAGCATGGGTTAAAGCGTTTCTGCTCGAAACATTCCAGCCCCTCTAATAGTACTAGGCAACCAGTGTGAGTAAAGAAACGGCGATGGACAAATGAGGTCGAAGGAGAGGTCATCCATGCATGACCACCCACGCTAAAAAGAATTTCATGCCACTGACTGAAGTACGACGAAGGTAATGCAAATTGCAAGGAGGTGATGGAGGAGGAAGAGTTTGGTTGATTTAGGCAGCCTCGTGAGGGTGGAGGCGGATGGGAAGGCCTTTTGCAGGTATTGGCAATGGATCTACAATTATATTCTCTTCAGGGAGCAGCTTCTCCCATTTGAACTTTGTCACCAGATTGTGCATGAAAACAAGTATTTCCAGTCTAGCATATTCTTTGCCTGGACACATTCTTGGACCTCCTCCAAATGGAACAATAGGTGTATGGGGCCGGTCCATTGCCTTCAAATCTCGATGGATCAAATTTTTCTGGCTCAGGGAAACACTCAGGATTTCTGTGTGTTGTATTTGCGTTCCAATACAGCTGCCATGCAATAATTGGTTTCATCATCATTATTATTACCAATTGCTAAAACAACAATTAATATGGATTAATCTTCATGGATAGATAATTGAGCTAACTGACCTTCCATCCCTTGGGAATTGTGAAACCTGCGTAGTTGAAGTCGGTCATGGCCTCTCGGAAAGCTCCTTGGAGTGGGGGAGCAACTCTCATCACTTCACATGCAACGTTCCATGAATATCTCATCTTTTGTATGTCCTCCCAATTCAACAGCTGATCTCCAGGTGCTTTAGATTTTGCAATCTCTCTTTGTTCTGTCATCCAACGATATTATTTAACCATACATATATAGTATGTGTTTAAGCAAACGCGGAGGAGTTTTATTTACCTTCTAAGACCTTGTTGTAGACACAAGGCAACTCGGCAAGATACTTGACAATAAAAGTTATAGCAGCACTGGCTGTGTCATGGCCTCCAACAAGCAAACCTAGTATCTTATCAGCAATATCAATCTCCTTCATGTACTGCCCATTATCGTCAGCTGTGGTTAGCATATGGGATAATATGTCTTGTGTTGGGGATGCCTTGTTCTCTGCTAGGTCAATCTTCCTCTGCTTTATGATCTTTACAAGCTCCTTTCGGACCACATTTGATGCCTTGACCCCGCGATTAAAGGGTGTCCCGGGCAAATCAATGGGAATGGATATAATCCCAGCGGCCAAATCATTGAAGGGCTTGGCAAACTCTTGGACTTCCTCAGGATCTTCCATGCTTAGAAATAAGCGACAAGCTAACCAAAAAGTATACGTCTTAGCTAAAAGGAAAACACCGACTTCCTGTTTGCCTTCCCAATCAGATGCCAAGTGCCTTTGTGCAATCTCATCCATTACACTAATATACCTTTGAAGCGATTCTGGCTTGAAAAAAAGTGGGAAGAGCTTTCTCATTTTCTTGGATTCTTCTTGCGAAGAAGTTTGTTGAGAGGAAGGGAATATTTTGTTGACAGAGTCAGGCCACCATGCTGTGACAAGCTTGTTCTCATTAGAGAACAAGAACTTGTTCCCGGCTGCCCCACAAAATACTGCAGTTTTTTCAAAAAACAACGAGGTTTTGAAGACTTTGGATGAGAACTTTGCCATTCTGTCTAATATGAACTTCTCTGGCTGACCCTTTTGCCCCGTCGTCAAGAATTCTAGGCTTTCACCGATGAGTGGCAAACCGGTACTGCCAGGCGGGAGGATGTTGAGAGACGCACTAGAATATTTGTGTTTGTTTAAGAGGTATGATAGTGAAACAGCAGTGATGATGAAGAGGATTGCATAGGGAAGCAGGGAGATGAAGGGAAGTTCCATTCTTTTTTTTTTTTTTCAATTGCAAAACTTTGGATTTCGTACCTCAATACCCAAAAGTGTAGCTTTGCAGGATTTATATAGGATTTATGGTAAAGTGGCATGGAATGTCAAGTTTGCGAATACAATCAGGAAGGGGTATCATGGCCTGGCTGGGTAAGACAGGATGCAGTATTTTAGTTTAGTTTTGCAAACTTAAGCAGTGTTTTTTGTTAGCAGACATAAAATTAACATTTTCCTTCTGGATTCTATATTAAAGACCTGAGCAAGGATATATCCATGTTATAATATAGGAATAAAAGACAGACGCAGAGTATATATATATATATATATATATATTCTACCGTCGCCCAAAATTGTATATGCTGAGATAAGTTGGTAAGACTAGGAAGTTGGGGTAATACTGTGTATGATCTCTACAAGGAACCCATTGAACAACGCATCAAATTTTATCGAACAAAACAAATTAAGGGATCGAGTCTATTCAATGGGTCCTTTTTGGTAATTAGAAAAAAAAAAAAAGGATGTACTTTCCATGGGCACTTTATGCCAAATTAATCTAGTCTGAGAGAAACGCAATTAGCTTTCTCATCAGGCGAAAAATCACTAGAGGTCCCTTTACTATGTAAATTTGATAAAATCAATTCTTTTATTTTTTTTAATTTAGAGTATATTAACCATTTGTTTAATCAAAGTCCCTCATTTGACGAATTTGACGCTCCCGCCATTACCCATATCATTTATCAAAACAAAATTGAGCTTGAATTTCTAGAAAAAAAATAAATGGAAAATAAAAATTTTAAAGTGCAAGTCCCGAAACTAGAACAGGGATTACTTTAAGGGCGGAATTTAGAGAATTTGCCGAGGAGGCTGGATAAGGTTGAGAGAGTTTAGAACCTTCTCTGATATTAATGTTATTCAATCAAGAAAACTATAGTCTCAAACTAGAAATCATCGTATGGTAGTAGGTAACTCGTGGAGGCAGAAATCTAGGTAGGTTTGGGAGGGCAAAGGGAGAAATAAATATTCATCTCTTTCACATTTGCGTTTAGAATTGGAGGAAGAAGAATTTGATTCTACAATTGGTTATCGAAGGCTATGTAGTGAAAAACCTTATGGAGGTAAATACTACAAAAAATAAAAAAATAGTGATGGATTTTAGTGATGGATTACAACTCATTACTAAATAGTGATCGAATAGCATGTGTTTAATTTAGTGACAGAATAGAGATGGTTTGGCGATAGTTTATTAATGACCAATGATATTCCGTCTCTATTTATGACGTTAAAATCTTTTTGAGTGTTTTAGAGACAAATTACCGATAAAATTGTAGTGAAAATCATTGACGAGTTGTTTTTAAACACTTTAAGAAGTTCGTTTCTTGATCGACTACCTTTAAACATGATTAGAAGGAAGAAGCTACAAGGGAGCATTGACAATAGGAATGGCAATGGGCCATCCCCGCCTCCGCCCTTGAAAATTTTGCCCCGTGCCTTGCACGGAGCAATATTTCTCATACATCCCCGCCCCAAAACAGGGATGGGGATCCCCGCGAGGCACCATTGTCTCGTTTAATTTTTTGTTTCCACCCCATCTCGCCTTATCCCGTCTCATGCTACTATCAAATTTCAAACTATAGCAAAAAAATAAAATAAAATGATAGTTCATATATAAAGTAAACCTTAAGAGTCAATAGTCATAAATTTTGTATAGGGTATAATTATAATTTCGGGGATGAAGCGGGGCAAACGGGGTGGGGCGAGCTAATACCATCTCTCGTTCCATCCCCATTCAAAATAAATACGAAGCGGGACGCCCCACCTCGTTCCATAGTCCATCGGGATATCCCCGCGTTGACTAGAGCGGGGCAAATTGCCATCCCTAATTGACAATATTGCTAACAAAAATGAGGGGTTATTGTTTGAATGGTTTGTGGTGTATTAGGTTGAGCTAGCTATGATGCTTTTTGGTGCATGACAATTAGAGAAGAATTAGTCACTTGCCCGTGCTACGCTGGCGGTCTAGTAGAAAAAAATTATTTTAAATTTTTTAAATTATAATTTTTTATTTACTTAATTTTTTAAATTTTTTAAATAAATTTTTTGATTAAAAAAACATAAATCATTCTTCTTTATGGATTGATTTTAAAATAAAAAAACATAATAATTTTAACTAAAATATTAATCAAGAATTAAAAAACTTTTAAAATATAATTTTTCTAATATTTTATTCCAAAAAATAAAGTTATAATTAATGGATAGATTTTTACAAAAATTTAACAAATGAGGAAAAAAATTCTTATTTAATGTTGATGAGAAGATTAATTTTTAAAATTATCTACGTAAGGCTATGGGTAGATAGAACTAAATCATTTAAAAATTTTATAATTTTTTCATTAATTTTTTATTGAATTATTACAATTTGTTTTGTGTCTTTTGCATAAATTTTTTTCTTAAAAAAACATGATTTATTTTTTTATTCAGAAATTCTTAGATAAAAACTTGTAATAATTTAAACCTTAAATATTAATTAAGAATTCAAAAGCAATTATTTTAAAACTATATTTATTTATAAGAATGTATCAAAAAAATAAAGTTATAATTAATGTATAGGCTTGCATAAAAATTAACGAATGAAAAAATAAAATTTTATTCTTATTTAATATTGGTAAGAAGATTTTTTTTTTTTTTTTTTAAGTATATGCATTAGATCTATATATATTTATTTACAAAATAATCAATACAATTAGCATAAAAAATTATATTTGAATAATTAGTTAGTTCCTTTAAAACATTATTTTAATGGTTTTATTTCAAATAAATTGGTTCTATAATGTAAAGAAAATATTCATGGTAAATAATTTGTATTATGTTGGAAGATATATAGTTAATTTTAAATAAAATCAACGATTCAGTAGTTTTTTTATATGCCTTGACCATATCTAGTGAACTCGAGACAAATTATTTGAAATACAATTTTAACCTTTTTAAATAAAATAATTATATATTTATATATATGCAACTATCATTTAAAAATTATAAGAATTCATGATATATATTATACCAATTTATTTTTTAAAAAGAAAAAAAATCATATTTTAAAATTTTATTCTAAAATTCAAATATAGAGAAAAATAAATTATATTTATCATTAAATAAAATCTTATATAAAAAATATTAATTGGATGAGAATTTTCATAAGAAATGAGAAATTCAAAAAATAAAATTTAAATTATAAGAGTAATATAAGCTGAAGTATATGTTAATTTTAAAATATAAAAAGATAGTATATATATAAAAACCCATAATAAACAAATTTTAATATGAAAATTACAAAAAAAACATCTTAATATTTTTTTCATTACATTGCATCAAAAAAAAAAAAAAAAAAGCAAAAATTAACATAAAAACTTGTATGAAAATTAACAAATGAAATTTTTTACTAATGAAAAGATTTTTTTAAAAAAATATATACATTTGATTTATATATATGTATTTACAAAACAATGAATAATATTAGTATACAAAATTGTATTTGAATTATTAGGAAATTATTCTAAAATATTATTTCAATTAATTTATTTGAAAAAAATCATTTTAAATATTAAAAAAATAATAGCAAATAGTTGGTATTGTATGTGTAGATACATAATTGATTTCTAATAAAATCAATGACTCTAATATTAGACGTATAGTTGATTTCTAATAAAATCAATGACTTTAATATTATTATTTTGCATACATCATGACCATATTTAATAAGTGAGAATGTATAAAATAAACTAAAAAATATTTTAAAAAATTAAATAGCAAAACATATATTAAAATTAATAGAGTGTAGTAAAAACTATAAAACTGATTTCGATAAAATTTAATTATATAAAAAATAAGAAAATAAAATACATATATTCAATTTTTAAAATTTGATTATATAAGAATTAAAAAATAAAAAAAGATATAAAAAAACCTATTCGAATCCGTACAAAGAGAAAATAAGTCATATTTATTAATAAATAAAATTATGTAAAAAATTAAAATTAAAATTAACTTGATGAGAATTTTTATTGAAAAAAATCAAGTTTAAACAATAACAGTAGTTTATTTATTCTAAAATCTTAAAACATATCATATAAATGTAAAAAATATCGTATATATTATATAATAGTCACTTTGTGTTAAAAAAAGAATAAAGATTGATTTTTTAAAATTTTAACACCTAATTAAATAAAAAAGAACATAAATTGATGAAAAAAAACAAAGAAAAAAAGGTATAAAAAAACTTATTCGAATCCCTACATAGAGAAAATAAGTCATATTTATTAATAAATAAAATTATATAAAAAATAAGAATAAAAATTAACTGGATGAGAATTTTTATCGAAAAAATCAATTTTAAACAATAATAGTAGTTTATTTATTCTAAAATCTTAAAACATATAATATAAATGTAAAAAATATCATTTATATTATATAATAGTCACTTTGTGTAAAAAAAAAAAAAAGGAATAACGATTGATTTTTTAAAATTTTGACACCTAATTAAATAGAAAAAAGAACATAAATTGATGGAAAAAGGCAAAGAAAAAAAGATATATAAAAAAATTCAAATCCATACATAGAGAAAATAAGTAATATTTATTAATAAATAAAATTATATAAGAAATCAAAATAAAAATTAACTTGATGAGAATTTTTATCGAAATAATCAATTTTAAACAATAATAGTAGTTTATTTATTCTAAAATCTTAAAACATATCATATAAATGTAAACAATATATATATATATATATATATATATATATATATATATTCACTTTGTGTAAAAAAGAAAAGAATAACAATTGATTTTTTAAAATTTTAACACCTAATTAAATTAAAAAAAGAACATAAATTGATGAAAAAAAAAAGCAAAGGGGGAAAAAGACATGTATAGTGAAACTAAAAAAAAAAAAAAAAGAAGAGAATATATCATATAAATATAAAAAATATTTTATATATTATA